TTTTTTCAAGAAAAGAGATCGAAATGCTTATTGAAGAACTGCGAGGAACACAACTCTAAGTTCAATACATTCGAATATATCAAATTCCTTCAATAACTGTGTTTATTGTTGAATGTTATTCTTGTTGTTAAGGTCTGGGTGAGAGTGGACTGATAAAAATGATATTTGATTCTTTTGTCTAAGACTCTTTGGAGAAAATGGGCCAGAATGTGGTTTCTTGAATGGAAAATTTGATGCTCTATCTATTGGTACTATCTTCGAATCAAATGGCGGTCAGAGTGGGTGAGAGCGTATTTTACTAATACCATTACATTCATTGCAAAATATAGAGAAAAAAGATTTAAAATCAATAATTCTATCGGATAATCTTGAATAAAACATGTAGCTGAACAATTGCCATCCTTAAGAACTATACGCAAGACTGTCAAAATTGGTTTAGTTATTTTTATAACAATTTTTTCAATAATTCGAATACAAGAAAAATATATTAATAATACTCAGTGATCGAACTTTTGTAACTTAAAACAATAGTCTATCAGGTGCAATAGCTTTACAAGTTTTGCAAATACTAATAAAAGATCAGCAGTGAAAACGAAAAGCAGAAAAAAAACCTTAATCTAAATTTCGAATGGTAACAATTGTTAATTGACTTATGCATTTCATATAACTATCGTTCTTAATAAACTATTCCATTATTCATAGAATAATAGTCTTTGATGAAGTAGTGAACATTCATCAAAACAAAGACACATGAAATTTGTTGAAAATATTTATTTGACTAATTGTCAAAATACAACATCATTTAGCTTAACAATACCAATGAAAGTTTCGATTATAACAGCAACAACTTTGAATATCATGTCTGAATTATTATGATAATCGATATCTCATTTTTGAAAGGATCAGTACAATCATTCAGAGAGGTTGTCAGAGAAAAAATATTTGTTACCAAGAATTCTTTGCTTATAGATTAGTTGATTATGTATGTCAATGTCGTGTTCAACACTAATAAAAAAGTAATTCTTATATGAGAGTTTCATATCATTCATTTTAAAATAAACATAGCTTTATATTGTTGAAAACATTGTTGTCAATTTACTTTTATATGTAAACATCTTCAAATAGAAAATATTCTTATTACAAACAATTTTTACTAGATTAATATTTTGTCTAACCACGACAGCGTATCTTTATCGGATTCGTCTGTCGATCATTGTCAAACATCTGATTAGTAACTATTCATTTAAGTGTAATAAACAAAGCAGAGATTCAAAATTATAAGAAGTTATGCTTTAGAAAGCAGAGAATATTTTTATTGATGAAGATATGCAAAATAAGCATATAATTTATTTATGCGAAAAAGCAGATATAGAAAGCAGATAAATTAGTTTATTGTTCATCAATTGTAGAAAAATTATTTTCCAATGGTGCATTGATTACCGCTATTGCTGATTTTTTTTCAACTATAACAGATGGATTATGTGCTTCTCTACCAGTACTACCTATTGTTTCTTGTTTATTTATTGAATTCATATCGACAAAAATCAATCGAAAATGAGTTGATGTATTTATATATAGTATTGGAATCCACATAACAGATGATTTAGCAAAACAAGCACAAACAAATGTTGCTAGAGGTGATATTGTTGTATTTGTATTATGAAAGGCTGAGATAAAGAAAACAATTGCATATGGAGTCCATGTTATTATAAAACCACATATTGTTATTATTATACCTGTAGAAATATTTTAATATATTTATTTAAATAAAGAAAAATCTTACTTTTAAGAATTCGTCCTTCCATTTCAATTCGTTTTTGACTTAATTCTGTTTTATTACCTTGTATTATTTTATATTTCATTCGTTTTAATCCAAAATAAATTATTGAATTTGTTACAACAAGAATAATCAATGGAATACAATAAACAAAAATAAAGAGAAAGAAATTAAATGAAACATATAAAGGTCGTCGATCATACCAATTTACACAACATGATGTAAGAGCTCCCTAAATAATACATAACATTATCTATACTACTGATAAAGTTAGATCTCAGCGTTAAGTATATATCAGAATTTTCTATCCAATAATAAATAATCACATCAAAGATTTGACTACTTGACGAATTTTCTATATCTTTGATCTCTTCTACTTAGTAGGAGTTGTACTTAATGATTTCACCAGAAATATGCCATTCGTAAGGCATTTTATAGTTCTTTATTAAGATAAGATATATTCATAGATAGATCAAAAGATATTTTCTTCTCAAATATCGCTTGAAAAATCTCGGTAATAGATGTATATTTTGTTCTTTTCTAGATCAATACTAATTGTACCTTAGTTCGCTAAAGGATACAGTCAATACTGAAACAATAGATCGTATGATCTTTCAAGTCGTTTAAATTCTTTTAAAATCTTCTGAAATCTTTGAATTCATTTACAGTCTTTGATGTTCACTAATGTCTATTTTCTTTGAATAGGGTTAGAGAAAGAGCATTGAAAAGAATGCTATTCATTGATTAAGTCATGAAAGTGCTCTTGATTATCTTCATTCTCATAACCAGCTTAAAAACAAAATCACTAACCTCTAGAGTATATTCATTCCATCCAATAATTGGTAACATTGTCCAAATAAAAGCAATAATTACAACCACACAAGCAATAATAATACATTTAGTAACCTAAATAAATTATTATTAACTCTCTAAATTTAACTGAAAACTATACTTTACCGAAACATTTTTTGCATTAAATGGTCTTAGAATAATATAACATCGACTAAGACTAATTGCACAAAGTAAATATGAATTTGAACATCCATAGAAAAAAGCCATAATAGCTTCTAATTGACATCCCACCCGACTGTATAACCAATAACAAT